ACAAATATTGACCTCTTCCAGTCAGTTGGCCAAGTGGCTGTTCTCCAGATTTCTTGGCACAACTTGGTGAGCACATCCACAGCAGCATCTGTTAGCCGAAATATGTCAATTGGTATACCATCTATTCCGGGGGCCTTATTTTTTGCTATTTCCTTCAAAGCAGCTTGAACTTCTGCCTTCATCACCATAGGCTCTGGCTCAAATGCTATTTCATTAAATTCTTCTGTATCTACCAACTCCTTTCGGTACAATGACTCAGTATATTCCTTCCATCTTCTTTTGATACCTCCTGGATCATTTAACATTCTGCCTAAAGCATTAGTCATTTTATTTCATGAGTGTAGTAACCACCTCCTTACTTGCTTCCTTGTTTCTCTAGTTCACCCCTAGAAATCATTTCCACAGGGAAGTTATAGTTCTTCTATAAAAAATAGCATCAGTTCATGTTACTTACCTAGTTAAAAATCCTTCAGTGGTCTTTAACTACTCTCACAATAAAATATGAACATCTACAATGGACCTGACCTGGTTCCTAACCACTCCTCCAGCCTCTCTGTAGTCCCTCTTTCCCTACCCATTGGGCTCCACTATCACTGTCCCTCTTTAAATTCTTTGGACCTGGGGTTTGGGGATATGCTGAACCCACCATTCTAACCATTGGATAAAAGATGTTACAGGCCATACCCTAGAGACACTCCTCTCACATTGATCCAGGCTGTGCTGAAATTAAGGGTATTATTTAGTCTTTAGTCCTTTTACAGCTGCTTGACTTGTCAGGTTCTGGGATACCATGACATAGCTCTTGCACTACATCATTGTAGACACATATTTTGGGGGGAGACACGATTCAATCCTTTATATTCTGCCTTGCTCCCTCGTCCTGTATTAGTAACAGGCATGTGTAAGAACTTATGTAAGGTTTAAACAAGACAGTGTGAAGAATCAGCAGGAGCCTAGATGCTGAAAGCAACAAAGTTCAGGGCACATTGCCTGACTATGGAGGGGGGTCCATTTGGTTAGAAGGGCAGATGGAATTGGGGTTTTGTTCAGTAGCTGAGGAAGCAGCACTCAAGGCCTTTATTAAGTTCAGTGACTCAATAATTGCTGTACTTGACTATGTGAGCAAAATGGATTTGTGAAGAAGAAATAGAAGTGATCAACATCTAATTAGAGTATTATAACAAATGAATTATTAAAACATTGGAAATCAAAACCAAGGAACTCAGGGACTATTATACAAAATGATGACCCTGGAGGACATTTCGCTGAGCAAAATAGCTCTGTCACAAAAGGACAAATACTGCCTAATGCCACTGTTATAAACCAGGACTGACATCAGGGTTGAGGAGAAACTAAGAAAAGAAGGGATAAATAATGTACACTGCACTGAAACAGATGAGGGAGAGAACTGTTTAAAAGGAATATATGATTAGGTATTATTTGTATGACAAGAGTCCAGAATAAGAGCTGCATAGTAAAGTGGACTGGCAGGTGGGGGATGTATAACGATGAAAGATTTTTTTTTCAAAGGGAAAAGCGAACTGGGGTGAGGGGTGGGCAGGGAGAAAATTGTGCAGCAATGAATGAATGGAAATCCAAGTTCTTGATAAACTTTCATTAAAATCTCAATTGAAGAAATAAGTGGAGATCTAAATAGAATCACCTCAGTAGGGATAGAGTAAATATTTGACAGCTTAGCAAAAGGGCAACTAGAAGAAAGTCTCCAGGAGTCTTGCCTGAGGGTCTGGTACACTAGTGGCACTTTGTCTCTATAAGTCTCAACTTCCTCATGTAAAAAATGAGATTAATGCTCACTTTACATTTATGGTCTCTCAATCCATTGCCTCCTGCTCATCAGGTAATACATTCTCTTCTTTATTTCCACTCTGTAACCCAATATTATCCAGTTATGAGGGTTCTAGGCTCCCAAAACTGCACCTTTCACTATCAATTGTAGCTTTTACATTGGAAAAGTAATTGACTATCTGTTGCTGAGGTCACCTTGACATGGATATGAGGATTGAACTCCCAGGAACTGAATTTGAAGAATGCTGTGAAGTAAATTACTAATATGGCCCCGTCTAGTCAGTCTTTGTGATTCTCACAATGATTGGGGTTGGCCTATGCAAATAAGATGGATGGAACCTGTGATAGTTTGGGTTATGTAACAAGTTGACAGGCCATGGTTCCTGTGTTGTGTGGTTGTCCTCTATTTTGTGTTCTCATGCAATTGTCCTCCACTTTGCGATGTGCTGTAAATCTTAGCCTCTATGCCTGTGGTGGTTAAGATTGTATTAAGGAGTGAGTTGCTTGTTACACTAATAAGCCACAATTATGGTGGAATATATTTTTTGGTTAAGGATAACAGAAGAATTGATGCCTCTGACCTGTGGTGTTGGAGAAGAGTACAGAACATCTCATGGACCGCCAAAAGAATAAACAAATATGTCTCAGAGAAAGTGCAACCAGAGTGCTCCTTGGAGGCAAAGATGATAAAGTTTCACCTCACAAACTTCAGGTGTGTTGCTAGGAGAGGCTATTCCTTGGAGAAGGGATCATACATAGAAAGGCGAAGGAATGGTGAAAGAGAGGAAGGCCCTTGATCAGGTGGATTGACACAATAACTGTCACAACATGCTCTAATGTATTAGGAAGTGTGAGGATGGACTGGGGTTCTGCTCTGTTGTTCATAGGGTCACTATGAGCCATACAACAACAATAACATAATGGAATATGTTTTGAGCCACCCACTTACTAGAGAGGGTGTGACTCAGTATTCATTCTTATTATCTTTATTCAAATCATCACCCTTCATTGCTTCCCTGAAATCACGCTGGTTTTTGAATCACACTATATATATATATATATCTCACACTCTATATATATATCACACTATATATATATATCACTCTATATATATATCACACTATATATATCTCACACTATATATATCTCACACTATATATATCTCACACTATATATATCT